ATGAATAAATAGATCATTATTCATAATTTCAAAATTTACATATATCCCTAACTATTTTTGTCCAGTATATTAAGAGCCTGTGCTTGTTTGTTTGTTTGTTTGTTTAACGCATTATTCAGCAATATTACAGCTTGTATGATGGCGGTCTGTAACAATCGAGTTAGGGCCGGACAATCTGATGAATGAAATAATGAGATTCGATGATATGTGAGCGTTTGTTTATGAATCAATATCAAATAGTGATGATATCAGATGTTCGACACAAGGTGAACGTATCTGCCCCATCGGAGGCACAAGTCATAAACATATGTTAAGGCAAGTGAGCTAACTGTTCACTGAAAAAAGGTGAACATATTGTAAAAATCAAAATACGGAATTGCAGCGGACATCATTTTGTCACTGAAGGATCAAATTGTGGAATGTCAACAACATTCTGCCGAACCTGGCGATGATTATACCCTTTGCTACCAGGCATTTCATGTGATGTACGAATCTCCTTTCTTGTCCTGTGACTGTTCGGTAAAGTGTCGATGAAAATCAAGGGCAGGTAATCGCGAGAACCATGGGAACGGATCGGTGCTGCTTTGCCGAAATGCTTGTCCTGAGATACAGATAATGAGTCTATCTTGTTGGATCACTGTACAGGGTGATAACTACTGTTGTTATAAAGTGGCAGTGCCTTATTGTCAAATGTTGAATATTATGTTAGCTTCATTATTCAGGTAAAGGTTGGAGAATATGTACATTGTATTTGTTTTCTTAGTTAACAAGCGCTGCGACTAAAGTGTAATATGAGGTGATATGAGTAAATAATGAGATCCATTTCTTGATTTGTCAAGCCTACGAGACCGTTCGTACCAAATAGGCTTGGACAAATTAAGGATTGTTAATGGATAATATGAATTAATAGGTAGTAATTGTACACATAGTATTAGAAAATGATCAAAGTACATTATTGAAGCTTTAACTCTGTATTACTATGTCAGTTTCCCAAACGTATTATAATAGAATCCAATGTGCTGTATGAATAAATATAATATTTGTTTTACATCGTACAAGGGTCAATGGCCTACAAAACAGATTTACAATTGAATATGGCTTCCAATCAAAGTGGGGTCATCTAGAACATGGACAGACAGTCATGAATTCCCGGAACTAATTGATTATTGCAATAATTCATCATGAGGCCATGTGTAATTATTCCTCATATCCCCTTGGGATGTTTGGTGCTGATTAGGCCAGGCTCCATGTCGCCGTGTATGATTTACGCGATATCGCGACATGCGATAATATGGTGCGAGATTGCGAGTATAAATGATTGGATGACGTCATGTAACTGCTTAAGCGTAGGTTTAGTATATCGCCCTGCTGAACGTCGCTGCTCTTACCATATCACTTCAGTAAGGCCTATCTTTCACAACATACAGATCATCATCTTTTTTGTCCTCATCTGTAATTTACAGAGGCCCTTCAGTAAAGAAGACATTTACTTAAATATCATTTTTCAGATTTCAAGATTCCCATTTGCTTATTTACTAGTAAAGGAACAAAAACAGTGTAAAGAAAACAAATAACATCATGTTTCCGAGGTAGTTCATTATCTTAAAATGCATTGTGTCCATTTTATTCAACATAGCATTTTGACATTTCTTCAAAAAGACGTTGAAGGTACAAATGGCCCTTAAAGGCTATGATGGTGACAACATATTTTGTCCAACTATTCGGCCACTGAGCTCCCGAGAAAGATGTTCTGTTGAAAGTTTGCTTTACTTCTCAATCTAATGTTATTACGTGCTTGCCTCAACAGCTATGTACTTTTATTTCCTTCCATAAAATAAATGGCCCTAAGACAAGCTACGGTTGTCCCCGCCATACTTGTGAGAGATACATATTGAGACATATATTATTGATAAGGCTAACTATGCAGTTTGTGAACATCACCATCACAGATTCAGGTGCTACAGACCGCCTCCGTTGTCATCGCTGTTCATACAACAAGGTTTGTGATTGTCCAGTAGCAACAGGTGTGGATGTTTCTCTTCCTGTGCTAGAGCCGCATACATACCTTAAGGCGTTGACGCAACGTGTATGCTATTTTAAGGGTTAGTCATGGTGATTTGAGAATAACGTTGTTTAGCGATTGTGTAATGAGGTATATTAAGTATATTTAGTATGACGTTTTCGCTTGGAGGTGTTCACACCTAAATCCTCTGACTTCCTGTCTGTGCTGGGGATCATCAGTCAAGTTTGTCAAGATCTGGAGAGACGGCTTTCTCGCAGTATGAGTTCCCTAGTCATGCACCGTTACCTTCGCCTTCGGCTTTTCAATCATTTCTGTTTAATTAGTTTCTTTTCTTTGAAAAAGAAATGACTCCGCCATGTTGCAATGCTCTTGGTAGTAGAAAGTGAAACAGCATCCGCATATCAACTGAACGTGTGAGTGAGTACAGTTTTACGCCGCTTTTAGCAATATTCCAGCAATATCACGGCGGGGGACACCAGAAATTGGCTTCGCACATTGTACCCATGTGGGGAATGGAACCCGGGTCATCGGCGTGACGAGCGAACGCTTTAACCACTAGGCTACCCCACCGCCCATCAACTGAACGAAGTAATTTGGACAAAATATATTTTTGAATAACATATGTTACGGAAAATATCAATGTTCTACACAAATCAAATTTTAAATTATGAATATAAAATTTCCAAAATATATGTTCGTCAAAAATAACTTTCTGATTCTCAGGTTAAGGAAAAAACATATTAATACATATAATCAGGAGTTCTTATATCACATAATTATAGTAGGACGTACAGTGGTGTAGATAGTCGTATCCCTCAACAACAAGGTGGGTGACCCTTCAGCTTTAACTTCTTGGTTACACGTTTCACAAGTTATTATATCCTTAGGGGGAAGTTTGGAAAGAGGTACGGTTAGCAAGTTGTGCTCTTGATCACCGGGTCATTGATCGCGATCAGAGAACGTGCCTTTTTGAACACCTTCTGTCCTCAGGCGTCAGGTGACCTATTTTTAAAGTAAATAGTAAGTCACTCGTCTACATTTTTTGGACTCATTGAAAAGTCACAAATGACTATATATCTTTAAAAATAAACAAACAGTATAATATTGTTTTTTAAAAGGACAGCACATTCATATAATCTTTATATTCACCATATACAGTAGTTCTACCAGATGTATTAATATTCGACGTAACTGGGTAACAGTTGGGCCTAATATTAAATTATTTCTTCAACATGCTGATATCATTAATAGCAGACACTCCGTAGGTTGTTATCTTTGAATGAAATTGTGGGCGAGTAAGGTTTAACGCCGCCTTTAGCAACATTCAAACCATAATACGGCGGCGTTAAACCATACATTTAGTTAGTCAAAACAGTTAGTGCAGTTCTGTATGTTTGCAATACATATGCAACAAACTAAATCCCAATTACAGCGACAGATTGGGTATTTTTATATCAGGCTATTTAAGAAATGCAAACAATGAGCATAGCGGATTTACACAAAGTCTGCAAAACCGGTTTTTACGTGTATAAATGAAAAAAAGGACATGTAGAAAAAACATACATGAATAATTACTTCACCGGCAAAAACAAAAGCTTGCCATACATTTTAGTCCTCCAGCATTATCGTGTAATGATCTTCGTTTGAATAAAACAGATAAGACATTGTGGCATACAACTTTCACTCACTTTCGGAGTTCTTTTAAATATCAGGCCAGGATGCACCTTGTGGGAGGTGTACAGCTTTATGGAAATGGGGGATACATAGCTCTTTGGAAACGGTAAATTCATTTTGTTTGGGAAATGATGGTCCAGTGATTGTTGTGACGCAGATCTTTTTCGAAATGCGGGTGAGTGATTACAGGTTTTTGTATTACTTGTATGTTGTTTAACGCCGCACTCAGTAATATTTCAGATGCAATCTGTAAATAATCGAGTCTGGACCAGATAATCCAGTGATTGCCATCGCGAGTAACACTGAGTATAGTTCTACGCAACCAAATCACCGAGCCTGACCACGCTATCCAGCCAATTGCCTTTGCAACAAGCTGCTACAAGCATGGGTAGCTGAAGACAATTCTATCCCGGATCTTTACGGGTCTTTAAAAGAGCATAGTTACATATATTCCACTGACGGATCTTCTCGGCCCAGATTTTGGAAGTAGGGAGTAGAGATGCTTGTAACATATGTTATATTTGGGATAACACTTTCTTAGTAAAGTACAAATTCTAGTACTTCTCCGGCTGGGACTCAACCCAAAACATACTAGAATTTGTACTTTACTAAGAAAGTGTAATCCCAAATATAACATATGTTACATTTGAACACTTTCAAGATGGCATTGTGTAATCATAGAGATGATTGCGCTGTAAATTGTTACTGAATGTAAATAACTCCTGAATTGATTAATGCAAATTATTTTCAGACAAAACTTAGTTCATTATTTTTATGGAAATAGAAGTTCAACAAATACTACAAGTTCTTCGTTTATCATTACATTTTGTTGGTTGGTTAGTTGGTTTGTTTTACGCCGCACTCAGCAATATTCCAGCTATATGGCGGTGGTCTGTAAATAATCGAGTCTGGACCAGACAATCCAGTGATCAACAGCATGAGCATGTTCAACGCAATAAGGATACAATGACATGTGTCAACCAAGTCAGCGAGCCTGACCTCCCGATCCCGTTAGTCGCCTTTTACGACAAGCATGGGTTGCAAAAGACCAATTCTAACCCGGATCTTCACGGGTATATCATTTTGTTACATTAATGAGTTGATTATGCCTATTAAAGTTGTTTATACCCAGGAATAGCTTTTCGCTTGAAACATGTCGAAGACTGTTTCGCGTCATCCCAACGTTGACTCTATATCTGATACGGTTTCCATTCTACCCGCTGTTTTACGGCTGTAATATTGACTACAGCGTCATAAAATCCTCCCTTCGTTTGACAGTCGTCTGCAGTAAATGACATCACCAAACGTTCAATGTGATGCTTTATTTACAAATGAATATAAAATAACCTACATAGGTCGGACAGCAGAAGACACATGACCAAGTGTGACATGGTGAAAATGTTTGATCAAGGAACAGGACAATGTCTAGGGAGCAGAATGTCTCTACGTATGTAAAATCATGTGCTGAAAATTCGTGTGCAGAACTCTAATATGATATATTTATTTTCAACTTTATTAGCAGAGGAATCTATTTACACAAAATCCACGATAAAGTAACGTACAGGGACGGTAGAAATTGGTCTTTGCTTAGAATTATTCATTTTACCACATCCTTTGCAGCAATGCATGCCTGTCATCCCCTTTTGGCATTCAAGACATGAAAATTCAAAACATGTGAAAACCGCATTTTGGTGACTGCGAGCGTTCCGTGTGCAACGGAAGAGTCCATTTTTATTCTGAGGGTGGCCGCTATTGAATGTGATTCGTTGCAGGTGGAGATCATGGGTGCGTGTTTTCATCATGTGATCTTGACACATACGCAGCTGTTCATGATCAATTTTCACCACAGCTGATGTTATCAACCGCATGGTACGTACGTGTGCTCGAATTGTCGTCGTGTTGTCTCTTAGGTTGGTTTATATCAAAAGCCAGGATTCAATGTGCCTTTGTTTGTTTGTTTGTTTGTTTGTTGTTGTTTACCGCCACACTCAGCAATATTCCAGCTTTGTGGCGGCGGTCTGTAAATAATCCAGTCTGGACCGGACAATCCAGTGATCAACAGCATGAGCATCGTTCTACGCAATTGGGATACGATGACATGTGTCAACCAAGTCAGCGAGCCTGACCTCTCGATCCCGTTACTCGCCTCTTGCGACAAGCATGGGTTGAACACCAATTCGAATCCGAATCTTCATTGGTCTAGGACTCGTTCTGCCTATCAGTCACGTGAATCCCAATATATTCTTAATTATCAGTTAAAATCACATTCATTCATAGACAATCTTTCCCGTACAAGTACCAGATTTTCAACAGAGCAGTATGTAAGCTAGTGGTTAAAGCGTTTGTTCATCATGATGAAGACCCGGGTTCGATCCTCGACATGGGAACAAAGCGTGAAGCCCATTTCTGGTGTCTCCCGCCGTGATATTGCTGGAATATTACTAAAAGCGGCGTAAAACCATATTCACTCAACAGTTTTTCAACCAAGACTAAGATTGCATTGATGCCATATGTTCCAACTCGCCGCCAGTATTACTACTTCTTGCGCTTGTTCTTATTTTTTTCATTTTTTTCCCGTTTCAACTTTGCCCAATTGTGTCTTCTCTCAATGAATAAGGCGAGCATGCACACCGACACGAACATGCCAATCCCAATGCCTATCCCCATTGCGATCCGAGCAAGATAACCTGAAATATATCGGAAATACGTTAATCTCTGAAAAATTAAAGCAGTCAAAGTTGGTTGTTGGTTGGTTGGTTGTTAAACGCCGCACTCAGCCATATTCCAGCTATGTGTCAACGGTCTGAAAATAATCAAGTCTGGACCAGACAATCCAGTGATCAACAGCGTGGGCATCGATCTACCCAATTGGGAAGCGATGACATGTGTCAACCAAGGCCGATCCACCCGATCCCGTTAGTCGCCATTTACGACAAGCATGGGTTTTGCTGAATTCTAACCAGGTCGCTAAGCAGTCAAGCGACCAGAACATACAAGCAAAACAATGAGTTAGTCGGAGTCTTGTAGTTTAACTCCGCCCTCAGCTATATTACGACTGTATGACAGTAGTCTGTAAATATTCGAGTTTGGACCAGACAATTCAGTGATTGACTTCAGGAGCATCGATCTACACAGTTATGATACAATGACATGCATCTACCTCGGTAACGAGGTTCACTGATTCCGTCGCTCGCCGCTTACGACAAGCATTAACTTTAAGTTTAATAGGACCAACTGTGACTTGACTGATGAAAATCACACCATATACATGACGTCATTGCTGGTAAACTCGTGACGTAAACTGTGACGCTTGACAACCAAGTGAGTGAGTGAGCGAGTTTAGTTTTACGCCGCTTTTAGCAATATTACAGCAATATCACGGCGGGGCACACCCGACATGGGCTTCACACATTGTACCCATGTGGGAAATCGAACCTGGGTATAATATTTGTGAAATTATACCAACTGTTGTGTCTCTTGTCTTTTTAATTTGTCATGAAGATGAATTGCCATGACAATATAAACGATCCAGCTACTTGGTTGTCAAGGGCGGTGGGGTAGCCTAGTGGTTAAAGCGTTCGCTTGTCACGCCGAAGACCCGAGTCCGATTCCCCAAACTGGTACAATGTGTAAAGCCCATGTCTGATGTCCCCCGCCGTGATATTGCTGGAATATTGATAAAAGCGACGTAAAACTAAACTCGCTCACTCACTCACTTGGTTGTCAAGCGTCACAGTTTACGTCACGAGTTTACCAGCAATGACTTCATGTATATGGTGTGATTTTGATCACTCAGGTCACAGTTGGTGCTATTAAACTATTAAATTGTATCATAACTGTGCAGATCGATGCACCTGAAGTCAATCACTGATATTATAAATAATGTTGGTGAAATGTCTCACTCATTGATATGCCTCCGCATCCATCCTCGTCACAACCTCCGTCAGCACAGCCGCAGTCGAAATACCCATCACACCGATAGGACATGCTAATGCATTCTTTATTTGAACAGAGGTACTCATGACTCCGACAAACTGAAACCACAGATGCAAAATATAATTAGATAATACAACAATAGGAAGAGTACAAGAAATGGAATCAGTACAAGCTGTCGTACAATACGCCATCGGTTGCACTAGTGAGTTTAGTACTCGTGCCTCGGTTTGATAATCAATTATATGATAGCATGAAAAGAGAAAGTGAGTGAGTGATTATAGTTATATGCCGCGTTAGAATTATCCCAGCAATATCACGGCGGGGACACGAGATATTGGATTCAAACATTGTACCAATGTGGGAAATCGAACCCGGGGTCTTCAGCGTGGCGAGCGGACGCTTTAAACACTAGGCTACCCCACCGCCTCTGTATACAGTTAGAAATAAGATGTGATCGTTTGAATTGACATTAGAAGTAGTTGAATATCACTTTATTCTTTTACATACTGTCACACTATATGACTACAACACCGTCCCGGTTGCCCCCGTGAGTGACGTGTAATCGATAGCATGAAAAAATAAACTTGAGGGTGCCAAGGTTATAAAATGCCTTTCCGAGACGTGGAAGTGAACGGAATATATATATAAAAGTTCTTGAAAGATATTAGAGTGAGTGAGTGAGATTAGTTTTACGCCGCACTCAGCAATATTCTAGCTATATGGCGGCGGTCTGTAAATAACTGAGTCTGGACCAGACAATTCAGTGATCAACAGCATGAGCATCGATCTGCGCAATTGGGGACCGATGACATGTGTCAACCAAGTCAGCGAGGCTGACCACCCTATCCCGATCTCTATTATCACAAGCATGGGTTACTGAAAACCAATTCTAACCCGGATCTTCACAGGCAAATTCGTTTTTTCATGACTACATGTACTTCAGAGTATTTTCGTGATATGACATGATAAAGTAATGCGGATTACATACAAGGCATTGTGTATTGGCGATATGACATTATCAAGTCCTGTGGATTACATACCAGATATTGTGTAATCGTGATATGACATTATAAAGTCCTGTGGATTACATAAAAAATATCGTTTATTCGTGATATGACATTATCAAGTACTGTGGATTACATACCAGATATTGTGTAATCGTGATATGACATTATCAAGTACTGTGGATTACATACCAGGTATCGGTGATGATATGTTGTTTATGACGGGACCTGTGGAGAGACAAGGCTAAAATGTAAAGCACACGAATCCAACATCGAAAACAAATCAATAACATGAATATAACGTTCAGAAAAAACGCCAGTGTGAACAGTGTGACATATTTTGTATATTTTATTCTTATTTTGTTCTGTCTTTTTGTCAGCTCGATTCGAACCCAATCGCTCAATTAAAAGAATACAAAGTATCACAAGCAACATCCTCACCCACCCTTTTATAATGGAATGATTGGATAACGTGTAAGTGGATGAATGGGTGCGTGAGAAGAGTGTACACCGCTTTGCAGTATCCCAGCTGGGAACACCAGCAATGGGCTTCACACATCAGACCCATGTCTGAAATCGAACCCGTGACCGTTGCTTGACGATCAAACGCTTTAACCAGTTAGTCCCCTACCACCCCAGAACGTTAACGATGCATAGAAAAACAATGCATAGAAAACAAAACAAAACAATGCAAAATAGCAAGGTTTTGACTGGCTGAATTTAGTTTTACGCCGATTTTAGCAATATTTCAGCAATATCAAGGCGGGGGACACCAGAAATGGGCTTCACACATTGTACCCATGTGGGAAATCGAACCCGGGTGTTCGTCGTGACGAGCGAACGGCTTTAACCACTAGGCTACCCCACCGCCCCAACAACGTTTGGATAACAGTTGATACAATTCTCCAATCTCTTGTCACTGAAATGCTCTTGTGAACACAGGAATGCTTTCTACCATGCAGCTCCATATACATGATACTGTAACTATGCTATGCGGCCTGTATTTTAATAGCATAAGCATTGACTATTATGTTAAACATGCCGACAGAAAGAGTGGGTGAGTATGGTTTTATGCCTCTTTTAGCAATATTCCAGCAATTTCACGGCGGGGGACACCAGAAATGGGCTTCACACATTGCATCCATGTGGGGCTCGGTGAACCGGACCCGGGTCTTCGGGGTGAAAAGCGAACGATTTAACCACTCGGCTACCCCACCGACCACAATATCAGCGTCATGCTGTACAAATCTATGATAAATTTATTTCGAGCTACCAATCCAAATATGAATCGATATTCTACAATCTAAACTTATTAGAGCCTAAGTGTTTACCATCATCGTAATTTGCCTATGCCTTCAATAATGACGACGCACTCATCAAAACATTTCCCTCATCAAGTATTAGTACTTCATTCAGTGGTTTTACCTGCATATATCTGTGAATACGTGGCTTTGAGTCCTTGAGCTCCAACGCTCCCGTCGCTGGAAAACAGGATCCGCAGCCATCGGGCGGTTGACGTCACGTTATGTGACGTCAGACTACCACAGGAAGTGAACAGAACGTCAGACTTGGCGCTGCCATCACGGATCTGTAATGGGAGAGTCGTCTGTGTTTAAAAGAGCGGCTTTCTTAAGTTTTTCTTTGAGTGGCAATTTTTGAAGGTGGAGAGTCAGATAGGGACAAACTTTATGGATGAACAACTTCTTTATTCAGCTGTTGCGACGTTTTGATACAGATATTTGTATTTCGTTGTCAGACAACTTGACAATGATACAAGAATCTGTATCGAAACGTCGCACCAGCTGAATAAAGAAGTTGTTCATCCCTAAAGGTTGTCCTTATCTTCTTCATTTTTGTGGCCAAGTTAAGTACCAATAGATTATTGCCTGCAGTGGAATATGTGAATATTCGCACATACATTTGAATAGAAATTATACAAAAATCAGATGAACTTGGTGAAGCGAATGTACACAGTCGTGATAAAGTCACTAAAGCATAACTCACAACAATGTACATACTATCTAAATGTCATCGTTGCAACCAGAATAACTTCAAGTGTCTTTTGATATGATACTTGTGATTTATAAAAAAAAAGTAAAAAACAGTTGAAGCCTTCCACGGACCTTGTATGCTTGGGTTCGCAAAACGCGCTTGACTGAATAGGGTGGAGCAGTATTCTAGCTTGGCAACACAATCTACGCCAGGATTCGAAACCATGATCTATGGCTGTCTAGTGTGCCCAAGAGCGGCAATCCTGCACATCAGGTTGTGGGTCTAAGACGACAGTCACCTGTGTCCAAACAACCGTTTAGAACTGTGATAAAATAACACAATAGGCGAGAATTTCCCCCCCCCTCCCCCATCAAGCAAGGATGGACCGCCCCCGTGGTGTAGTGGTTAGAGCGTCCGCCCGGAGTGCGGAAGGTCGCGGGTTCGATCCCAGGCCGCGTCAAACAAAAAGACGTTAAAATATGGTACCTGCCTGGGTACAACAAGGACTGGTCGGCTCGGAGTCAGTATCATGTGTCTGAGTGGGGTATCCATACTTAACTGCGGCATGGTATCTCAGTGAGATAGCACTATAAAACCAACTTCATTCTGGGCTAGTACAAACATCCACACATACAAACGCATGCACGTCGTCATATGAGCGAAATATTCTGAAGCGCGACGTTAAACCCCATTTCACCTCACCTCAAGCAGGGATGCTTACCTTGATGTAGTCATGGCAGACATTCCCTTCCTGCTGACCCTGGAAGTTGATGGTCAGTAGTACCTGGTACTCCGCCGTGGCTTCAAATGTCCAGATACAGCGGGTAAAGTTGGGATAGGCGTTGGGATAGTTTGGGCTCGTGATCTCGCCCAAAGCTGCCCCGTGTATTGAATGGAACCCCCCACAATCTGTAAACGTAAAAGCGAAACATATCAGAGATGGGTCATGATGGAATATTTGCTGATCACATTATTATCCCGAACTGATTTCCACAAGGTAGATAGCTTCAATGAAAGTTCATCACAATACTTTGCATGCCGTTTCGACATCACTTTTTCACACAACTCCCCGCTGCTGAAGCTAGTAAGCTGTACTGCTTACACGCAAGACACTAATTGCTATTGCCTATAATTGATTACTGAGAAGAATGGAGAAGACCCGGGTTCAAATCCCCACATGGGTACAATGTGTGAAGCCCATTTCTGGTGTCCCCCGCCGTGATGTTGCTGGAATATTGCTGAAAGCGGCGTAAAACCAAACTCAGTCACTGAGAAGAATGTTGCTCGTTTGTTTGTTGTTAAATCACACTCAGCAATTCCGGCTATGTGGCGGCGGTCTGCAAATAATCGAGTCTGGACCAGAAAATCAAGCGATGAACAGCATGAGCATCGATGTACGCAATTAGGATACGATGACCTGTGTCAACAAAATCAGCAGACCTGACCACCCGATCCTGTTGGTCGCCTCTTACGGCAAGGATGGGTTGCTGAAGGATGTTCACAGCTTTCGAGAAAAATGACTATAATCATAATCTCATAGCAACTCATCTGGACACATTTGAAATTTGAAGACTCTTGGGTGAAATTCTACATGTAATGGCATTATTATATTAATCTATCAGTGAACGTATTATTTCCATCATTTAACAAAAGACCACCCGTGTTATCATTCATACAGGGACTATTGTGGTCATGTTTCCAACTGGGTTCCGTCTTAGAGCAAACGGGCATTGATACGAAACTGTCATTTATTGTACCACATTCACCATTGTTGTGAAAGTGTGCAATGATATTTTCTAAACAATACGATTGTCTTTTACAATAGTGTGGCAATACCTGAACAAAATATTCAGGTAAACAAGAAATATTAGGTCGGGATTAGGACAAATACTTAGTACATGTCATTCATACGTGCATTCTTATTGGTTTGTCGTAGTTTCAGGTTAGGGAGAGCATGAATTGCAGAGACAATGTGTGTTTGATAATGATCTAATCTTAACATGGCTGCTTTTTGGTGCTTCCGATTTTCGTTGCTGGAGCATTTCGAATCTCGGACGTTAACTTTTGGCTCCTTTACTTTCGGATGTAGTGGTTAGAGCGTCCGCCCGGAGAGCGGAAGGTCGCGGGTTCGATCCCCGACCGCGTCATACGAAAAGACGTTAAAATATGGTACTTGTTGGTCCCTGCCTGGCGCTCGGCATTAATGGGTACAACAAGGACTGGTCGGCTCGGAGTCAGAATGAAGTGTCTGAGTTGGGTATTCATGCTTCACTGCGGCATGGTATCTCAGTGGGCTAGCACTATAAAACCAGCTTCAGTCTGGGCTAGTACAAGCAGCCGCACATACACATACACACGCATGAACGTCGTCATATGAGCGAAATATTCTCAAGCACGACGTTAAACCCAATTTCATCTCACCTCACCTTTACTTTCAAACTTTGTGCATATAATGTCATTTTGATATGCATATTTTTACTGTACATGTATGTTGGCACTTACTTGTCGATGATGTACACTGTATGTGTAATAGTAGGAGGAGGACCGCATCTGCAACAACAAGATAGGGAGAAGAGGATAACTAAAGACCAGCTGGAAGCACACACACGCACACACATACATGTCATTGTAGGACTATATGAACGTAGAGTTTTACGCCGCTGTAAGCAATATGCCAGCATAATCTAGGTGGGTCAGCCCAATGTGATTTGTACGATGAAGTCACGCAGGGTCATGGTGAACACAAAGCAGGAATCATTCCTGCTAACGCTGTGGGTAACGAGCCTTGTACCCACGCCATGATCACCATGTACCGTTTATGATGAATTATTCTGCACATTCTGTTTTAGGCAAAGGAAAAGGTCGGAACTTCCAAACACTAAAATATTCCCCGTTTTGTAGGCGAAAGAACGATGTACTTGACAGATAGTAAATATGATTCAAACCATATCACATCACCTAGAAACAGCAGAGATAACTGGATACAAAATACCTTTCCGAGACGTGAAAGTGAACGGAATATATATACGAGTTCTTGAAAGATATTAGAGTGAGTGAGTCAGTTTAGTTTTACGCCGGTCTCAGCAATATTCTAGCTATATGGCGGCGGTCTGTAAATAATCGAGTCTGGACCAGACAATCCAGTGATCAACAGCAGGAGCATCGATCTATGTAATTGGGAACCGACGATATGTGTCAACCAAGTCAGCGAGCCTGACCACCCGATCCCGTTAGTCGCCTCTTACGACAAGCATGGGTTACAGAAGATTCACTCTAACCCGGACCTTCACGGGTCGAAAGATATTAGAAGTTGGGCGAACGTGAACACTTGACACGTTTATGGAAACTTCTCTTTTGTTCTTTATTCAGAGCTAACGCTTTTGCCCCTAGACAACATGGATTGGGTAATTTTTGTTCTTTCTCCAGGTGAAGACAAACTTAACTATTCTGTAATTTTGGAGTTTCGCAGTAATTTCTGACCGGACAAACAAATCTATGCGAGGTCCAATCAAAATCGACAAAAGAAATCCGGGTCATAAAAAGTCATACAGATTTCAGTTTATTGCAGAATTTGCAAACCATGTGTACCGTAAAGGGGCGTCGACAGATATTGTGTTTGGTTGTGTTTAAAAAAGATGTTGTCCCCTTGGAAAACAATACTGGTTGAAGCGACCTAAAATCACTCAAATACCTATATTCTTCTGCTGGATGTGGTTTCAGGAATATGGCAAATAGTGAGTTTAGTTTTACGCCACACACAGCAATGTTCCAGCTATATCACAATCCAGTGATCAACAGCATGAGCATCGATCTGCGCAATTGGGATACGATGACACGTGTCAATCAAGTCAGCGAGCCTGACCACCCGATCCCGTTAGTCGCCTCTTACGACAAGCATGGGTTACAGAAGATTCACTCTAACCCGGACCTTCACGGGTCGAAAGATATTAGAAGTTGGGCGAACGTGAACACTTGACACGTTTATGGAAACTTCTCTTTTGTTCTTTATTCAGAGCTAACGCTTTTGCCCCTAGACTAACATGGATTGGGTAATTTTGACCGTTCTTTTCCAGGTGAAGAAAATGCAAGTATTCTGTAATATTGACTTTCGCAGTAATTTCTGACCGGACAAACAAATCTATGCGAGGTCAATAAAATCGACTCGCAAAGAAACACTGATAAAAAGTCAACAGATTTCAATTTATTGCAGAATTTGCAAACAAGCCGTCAATTCATTCCCATCATTGTTTTTGGTTGTGTTTAAAAAAGATGTTGTCCCCTTGGAAAACAATACTGGTTGAAGCGACCTAAAATCACTCAAATACCTATATTCTTCTGCTGGATGTGGTTTCAGGAATATGGCAAATAGTGAGTTTAGTTTTACGCCACACACAGCAATATTCCAGCTATATGGCGACGGTTCGTAAATAATCGATTCTGGACCATACAATCCAGTGATCAACAGCATGAGCATCGATCTGCGCAATTGGGATACGATGACACGTGTCAATCAAGTCAGCGAGCCTGACCACCCGATCCCGTTAGTCGGCTTTTACGACAAGCACGGGTTACTGCAGATCAATGCTAATCCGGATCTTCACGGGTCATACGGCAAATAACACGCGTGAAAAAGATATTTGCAATAAATACAAGCCGTACTGCGATGGTTGAGTGGGGACGACGGTGACGTATGGCACCGCATCCTCCAACTAATGCGTCCATCACTCATGCCAAACACAGGTCCCTGCTGAAATATCGATTTCTCGAGAGGACCAGTTACAATAATTGCATTACATGTGATCAATAAACAATGGCCAATTTGTGCATCGAATATTGTGTTTACCTAAAACATCAAGGGTGTTATAACTCAAACATATTGGTGACTTCAAGGAGAAGCGACAGGGCCGGTTATGTTCTGGTAGTTGTTTAAAGCCGCACTCAACTTTTTATTCCAGCAATATGTGTAATTGTGTAAATAGTCGGGTCTGGATCAGACAATTCACTGATTGAAAATGTGAGCAATAAGTCACGTTGTCGGCGCAGGTTGACAGTCAACCAAACAAAAACGCATTTGATTCATTTTTTCACCTTTAACGAACAACAAAGTTGGTGGAGAACTATGATAACCTCGGCAACTTGTTATCAGACAGGTTTGCGATAACAGGCACCGTAGAGTAGCGTCCATTAGCCGATTCAGGATCCGCTAACTTTGATTAGAATCCCAGGCAAGGGAGGCATATGCCTTAAAGGACCTTCCTGAGACAATGAAGTTAATGGACTATTAAAAGAAAACAAATTCCTGAGACAAGGGAGGTAACTGACTATAAAAGACCATCCTCAAGACAAGTTAGTTGACTGACTATAAAACCTTCCCCATACAAGGGTGTAAACGCGTTATTTAGGAGTTAACTGACTATAAACGACCTTCCCCATACAAGGGAGTTAACTATTTATAAAAGACAATTCATTGATTGATATTGGGACAAATAATTCACGTCGCCGGTGTAGGCTGACAGTCTATCAAACAAGAAGACAATCTGATTCAGCTGTTCGCCTCTAACGACCGGGTTGCTGGAGAGCTTCAGTAACCCCGGGAACAAGTTATCAGACACGTTGGGTTAAAGGTGGCACCGTATAGAGTAGCGTCCCTTAGTCTACCAGGATCCGCTAACTTTGGTTTGAATCCCAGATTATGCTCGTTTGTGTCAACAATATGTTTAAAGTCTTCCATCCGTGTATCGCCACGACTACTTCTGATACGCCATAGAACGGAAATACTGTGCAAAGCCATCATGACCTAAAACGCATGTCAATAACGCGCGAATTACTGATCCAAACCATGAAAAATAATTGATGCTACGATTCAATAATCAATATATTGACGGGACGGTGGGGTAGTCTAGTGGTTGAAGCGTTGGTTCGTCACGCCGAAGACCCTGGTTCGAATCCCCACATGGGTACAATGAGTGAAGCCCATTTCTGGTGTCCCCCCGTCGTGATATTGCTGGAATATTGCTAAAAGTGACGTAAAACCAACTTAGTCAGTCAGTCAATATGTGGACGAAGGAGTAAGGTTATTCTCCGAAACGTTGTGTTCCTCAAAATAAAGACGTTGGCATCCATAAAGCTCTCCCTCAATATATTGTGGTCTAGTAGATAGGAATCAACCATCCGTCAAAGCAGGTTTACCAAATCAGAGAGCATAGGTACAGGAGCTTACCTCCATGATGGAATAAAGACATTGTGGATAAACAATGTCCTATTCTAACTTTATTGGATAAATAACACATTCTCCATTTCAACACAACAGGTCTTAGTTACATATGTTATATTTGGGATTACAGATTCTAGTACTTTTGGGGTTGAGTCCCATCCGGGATTCGAACCCGCACCCTCAGAGTCAGGCACCTAATCGCCAGCACACAACGTCAGACGCCTAGACCGTCTTTGTAGCTTTGCAGACTTTGTGTACCCCTCTGATAAGTGTTAATTGGCACGGCTCCCACGGCCGAAAGCTATGAAATACACAGATTCTAATACTTTTTAGGTTGAGTCCCGGATGCCACAACCAATCGATGCCAGTTTGTTTCCTCACTAATAATGATGCTGGATGCTGAAAGTAATTAGACATTTATTGACTATTTAACCTCAGTATATATGCCATTTTAATTTATGGCTAGATTGTCTAAATTTGCTGTCAGCTGAAGGGTTGGTGTAAATCCAGCTAGGCTCCATGCAGGAAGTAAAGAAGAACTGTAAGTCACCATGGTCCCTTGTATGGCGATCTACCTTCAGTTGTTGGCAATATATAGCCTATTTTCATATTGTATTGTCTTCTGAAATTAAGCTGTTTTATATTCATATCTGTGAAATTCTAGTTGGTTTTACTGTCATTCACTGACATTTCCTTTTTATATTTACCTATATTTATTCTAAAATTCTTACTTGCTTTTAGTCACGATATGACTGAACTATTGCCGATGTGAGTTTAAATCTTAACTAACTCACTCACTTGACTGTTTATACGTTAACTGTGTGTGCGTGAGTACGTGAGTGAGTGAGTATAGATATATCATGGTAGAAAGCCGGAAGTGATGCAGGCCTCAGTCAGTTCCCACTTCGGTACAACACATCACCACAGGTATTGTGCTGCAAAATTCTGAGCATGAGAGGTTTTAGATTGAAACTGTGGCTCCCAAGACAACATGGCCGCCCGTGCCCAATCCAAAGATATTTTGTGGGTTAGTTTTACGCCGCTTTATGCCGTATTCCGGCCATATCACAGCGGGGAACATCAGAAAAGGGCTAAACAATACAAACTCTTCGTACCCGATGCCGATAAATGGACCTGCTTTTACATGCTCCAGGCTGAAGGGAAAGGAGATCCTTATCATTCTATAATGCGTGGAGGAGAAAAATCTGCCATGATGTCTGTCGATCGATGTTTGGAATTGTATGATCCAGAGTGGAAGAAAGACAAACAAAAACCAGAAACCTCAGGGCAACCTAAGATTAATTTTGTTACTCCTACTCAACAAGTGGTCGAACAG